TACATCACAAAAACCTGCAATTCCAATAAGGATGTGTACACGTTTTACATCCACTGTATACACTATTGCTGTATACTGTATAATGTTTTTGAATAAAAACAAAATAGAAACTATGTTTGGTCACCTTAAGTTATCCACCGGAGCACAAAAATTGCTTTTAAGAAGTCTGGATTTATCGTCATGAATTATGCAACACATTGTCAGGTTTTTAGATTACAGTATACCGTATTAAGTATCTAATTTGCTTGTGTTCAGATTTCTTGACTCTCCCCACAGTATATTTGAAAATTTTCAGGACCAGTTTATAGAAGCCTAAAAGAAAAACAATTCACAGAGTCATTTTGTTGTGTAGTGACAACAATGTTTATCTTGTGTTTTCTTAACTGAATATCCAAGACATTGATTTGGTAAAAAACGTAAAGTAATCAAGAGTAGAAATGCTTTGGCATCATTATTTTGTAATTAGTGTAATTAGTGGCTAAAGAGGTATGGCAGTATTGCAAGGCATGAGTCTGCAGTCCAGGAGGAGCATATTATTCCAGAATTCCTGGGGCACTTTGAGATAGGACGATGTTTTGTTTTTAAAAACAGCTGTCTTACATTTCCTGCAGCTGATTCGACTTAATGAATAGAAATTAAAAGCACATTTTATTTTTAAATTCACAAAAGGAAACAGTGACTTTCACATATTCTTACTGTATCTAAAGAAATCCCATATTAACCAAAGACACCAATGTGTCAAATTTGCCATTTATCCTGTGGTGGTTATCAAAGGTTTTCTAATCTGCATTTTCTTGCAAATCACAGGAAAAGTTTAATAGCTGATCAGAAACCACATTTGCCACATGCTTTTTTATTAGACATCAGCATTCATCGTGGCAAATGTGCAATAATTAACCTGTTAATTTCTTCCAATTTAAAGGAATAACTGATACCCTATTCTATCTCAAGTGTCTCAAATGGATTGTGAAGTAAGACAATCATGCTACTTTTGATTCATACTGTGTGTAGAACTCAGAAAAATAGCATGTTGTGTACTGGTAACTAAATGGAATAAACCCTTCTCCCTCGGGTTAGCTGGTGTGCTCCATATATCAAGTGTTGAGTGTTTAATGGCTCATAGCTAACTCAAGATATAGGATGTTCTGATGGGGCCTGTTGCTCATCTCAAGGATTGGAATGAGTGGAAGGAGACTGTAGAGAATGTCACAACAAGCATGTAACTAAAGCCCCACTGAGTGGGACAGCTGTGAGGGCATACAGTAGTTTCAGAGCATGTACTATATAACAAACCCTGAAAATATAGGATGTTCTGAAGAAGCCTGTTGTTCAGCTCAAGGATGAGCTTAACATTAATGGAAGTAGAGAATATGACACCAAGCATGTAATTATAGCCCCACAGAGTGGGATAGCTGTGTAGGTGTAGTATTAGAGCATGTAATGTATACCAAAGTCCTGAAGATTCATGTTTCAGTCTCTGTGTAGGAAACCCTTACAACATCATAACAATCAGCTGAAAGTGTTATTTTTTCATAGAATGGCATTCAGTGTGCTTTCCCTTTGACTTCTGCCTTCTGTATTTATGATTTCTAATGCAAAGGTACCAAAGAAACCTGTTTCACCAGGATCTAACCTGCTTTGTCTGAGGGACAACTGCCTGCCCATATGGATGAGAAAGTTGGACATCTGCCTGCCTTCCGCCTCCTCCAATAAAGCAAAACTGTTGGGTTGGCAGTAGAGTTGAGGGATGGTAGAAGGGGGTTAGACTGAAGCACTGTGGGAAATAATCATAAGGCCTAAGAGCGGGTTTGGGCTGACAAGAATTGGATAGGATCCTCCTCCTGTAGTTTTTTTAAGAGCTCCACTTGATTCATTCACCCTTAATAAACAATAAAGCTTTATTGTGTTTGTATGCCAAATTCTTCAGCTAATAACCAAAACAGAAACAAAACAACATTCATAAAAAGTTTAGCTTCAGAGGTGTTGTTCACTGCTCATTCAAGCTGTCCAACATATTTGATTTTCCACATAGGTTCAATTTGCACTTGACAGTCACTGAAATCACAATTGTATTTCTAAACTGTGGTTTGTCTCTTTAGATTAACTCACTATTTAAGCACAATTACTCATTACCAGGCAGCTTACTAGACGGTAAAGGTCATAAAGTCTTATATATAATACAGGAATACCTTTGAGGGCCAATTTCAACATCCTGCAGGGTAGAAAATTGGTTTTACTTGCACAATCATAGTTTATTTAGAAGTGTATATTAGTTGTATGATTACCTATTTCAGTACTTGCTACTGACAATAATTCAAGGCTGTCAGTAATTGACAGGAGAAAAGAATTCAAAAAACATTTTAAAAAGAAAATGCCATAAAAGAGTGATAATTAACTGTGTCTTGTTGCTACCTCTTATTTAGCATGAATCACTGCAGGTTAATTTAGAAGGAAAAAAAACATTTAAAATGATTTTTTTTTTTAATCTGAAGAAACTTGTTTTTCTCCCATGTGTACCTGAAATTGTTTCTGAAGAAGAAACATATGTGAATGTTAAAGTTCTTTTGTAGAATCATTTAAGTAACTTAAAGTTCATAATAACACTTCCCATCAGTAAGTGGATTTATAGAGAATAAATAAGGGACTCTACCTTTTAGTTTCCCTGTATCTTCCATGTCAACATTCCTTCGTCATCCACGCTACCACAGCCAGTACAACAAACCTTGTAGAGGGCTTCCTCTTCCTCTTCTATATGGTCTTTCCTTAAACCACACAGGGTAAATGACACTGTATCACACCAATACAATAAGCACCTGTTAAAATTAAATGTTTTGACCAATCATTTGTACCAGATGAGATGATCAGTTCTGGTTTAACTTCAGACTATATGTGCTGCTGTTGCCAATAAAGTTATAGATTTACCTCATTTTGTATGTGATTTTACAAATCGATCAACAAAGTGGTTGTCCCGGGGGACCGGACTCCGGAGGATTGGGATCCTATGCGAGGCTCTTCAGAAAGGAAGGTTTGGAGTAGAGATGGGATGCGAAGACATGGTCGCGTAAAAAAGCAGGGTCCAAAATCCGAGAAGGCATCTAGGGTGCGTCGGTACCAAATCGGAAGGCGAAGGCGTAGTCGAAGAACAGTAGCTGGGTCCTGTAACAAAAGCGTTCTTTCAGGACCATATGCAGGTGACACAATCCGGGAATGAGTAGGGAAACACTGGGAAAAAAGTCATTCAGGATACGGGGATGAAAACAGAGGGCGTGTCCTTGGTGTGTTGGTGTTCAGGGGAGGTGTGGCCAAGGCAAACAATCCAGGAAGAAGTCCAAGGGAGAATCCAAAAGGAGGCCAAAAGTCCTTAGCCGGGCAGTCCATCCTAGACAGACTAATTAACTGGATTGGAACTGGCGGGGAACAGGAACAGAAAATAAAACCTTAACGGGACCAGGCACCTCCGGGTCCCGGACTCACCTGGTGCAGAAACCAGAGCAGAGCCTGGATAAACGTCAGCGCCTGGCTTTTAAGGGGGGCTGAAAGGAGGCTAGAACAAGGGGCAGGTGCACAAAATCAGGTCAGAAGTGAAAGAGCCAGAGCACCCTTAAGGAGGAGGGACTACAATAGTGATAGGTCCAAAATCTGGGAAGGCGTCGAGGGTTCGGAGGTACCAACTCGAGAGGCGAAGGCATAGTCGAGAACAAAAGCAGGGTCCAAAATCCGGGAAGGCATCTAGGGAGCGTCGGTACCAAGTCGGGAGGCGAAGGTGTAGTCGTCGAGAAGCGTAGAGTCGTATGACCGGGGATCTAACACTAGTAAATGGGGCTTGGGAATGTACAAGTACGGAGCTCAGGGAAGAGACCTCAATCATGAGCAAGGAAAGGAAGACTAGTGAGGGTTTAAATAGTGCTGAGAAGATTGGTGCGTGAACGTTTGGGGAGAGAAGAACTCGTGGGAATGCAGGAGCGCTTACATGCGTGAGTGCGATTCGTGACAGTGGTAAATCTATACATTTATGGATTGGCCAAGTCTACAAATGAGCCAAAATCTACAAACTCAAATCATTTATTTTTCTGTTGAGTACTTTCTACTATACATTCTACTGTATGGTATGTGGTAGTACATTCTACAATTCAATGTGTACAGTGAAAATAGTTATCTTGTGTTGATCCTTGAAACATAGGCCGCATGTGTTCTACATTTTGTGAACTAGAGCGGACTAGCTATTCATGACAACAACTTGAGCACCCACAAACACTACGTATCTGTAATCGGTTTTCAATGGAAGTGGTGAAGACAGATGTCTGTATGACTGTCTTCATTAAGTCCTCTATTGTGCCTATAACCAAGCTAGCTGATACCACCGTTTCTGTCTGCTGTTTCCTGGTTGGTATGATATCACACTTGCATGTTCCAGCCGCTAATCTCACAGACACTCTACAACTCTTTCTCTCCTGCAGTCACGTGACTCAGACAGGCTCATTCGAAGACATTCGTCTGGAAGGCCACCAGCCTGTCCCCCCAGCCCCTCGCAAGGTGGAGATGAGACGTGACCCTGTCTTGGGATTTGGGTTTGTGGCAGGCAGCGAGAAACCTGTGGTAGTCCGTTCTGTCACACCAGGTACTGTATCCATATTACTGCTTTCCTCCAGGGTCCCTCAGGGCACAGTGTGGAAAATGCAGTGAAATGTTAAGGGAACTTCTGATTAGAAAAGTTAAACACTAACTGCAATGCTATGTTTAAATTTCGGAGTTAGAAAAATTCAGCACTGATGAGTGCATTTCAAGCTACTATAAAAATAAATAAACCTCCAATTTATATCACAAAATAGAGAAAATGTCCTTGTATGGGCAGACCCATATTGCCTTCATTATCTTCAATTCATAACAAGACAACAAAACATCTGGTGAAGTGAAGCGGCCCTATTACACTGTAAACATGCAGGCTTCTGAATACATCTCTTATAGTCCAATAGAAAAATTGCTCTCGACTTCAAGATCGTATTGCAGACAAATACAACTTGTTAACCCTGCAGGCACATTACATTGGAAAATTTCTGCTGTGAAATGTCTGCTGCATAAACTGTGCTTATTCGCTCATACAGTATATCGCATTACATGAGTCATTACAGTGACTAGTGAGCAGGAAGGGTAGCTTCATGACGCAATTTGCACAAACTCTTACTTTTGCACGTGGTGAGAACAGTGGTTTGCGGCAAGAATTGGGCGCATACAGTACTTTGACAAAGTTCGCAATTTTGTGCTTAATTCGAGATTTGTAAAAAATGTTCTATGACGTCAATGAATTCATTTTGTTACCGAGATTTAAAAGCCAGTCTGAGAAATTTGGACTGCAGTTCCCCTTTTAAAAATGACAATGGAAATTTATAAAAAAACAATTTTGACATTTATCTTAGTGTTCTGACAGAAAATAACTTTTCATATGTTTCAATACTCAGCTAATTTGTGTCCAGAAAACAGAGGAAAGTCTTTTGATATTTTTAAAGAATAATCAATCAGGGATATGAGCTGTCTGTGTAACCATTATCACAAGAACAAAGCTGCTTTCCAGTTGCTAAACATTTTTGTGTAGGTGGTCTTTCTACCTGTCACACAAAAATCTTTGTAGGTTATTTCCCTTATTTCTGAGACTATGTCTTGGATAGATACCGTATATGGTCATTTTGCCTTAGGTGCCAGTGAAAAGAGACTGTTGTTGGTGTGGATTACTCCTCTATAGTTTCATCATGTGTTTTATATCAAACACACCTTTGCTGTGGCTTGAGCACTGTGCCTTGTGTTCAGTCTTCATTGTAAAATGAAGAAAAATAATTTCAACAGTACATCTAGATGTGGCTATGCGGAATTGGAATTTTTTCAAATTGATTTGAAAGTGGATTAAATTTGATTTGTTTTATTTCAAGGGGTAAAAAGCAAAGAAACAAACTCCATAAAGTATTAAATGCTAAAAAAACTGCCTTGTATTTTGACATTGTACTCAAGATTTATCCCACATAAAGAATATTATTTTGCCAGAATGCCTTTGCCCTTGGCGCCAATTTGCATGATTCCTGTAGTAGAGCTAACAAATTAATTTGACTAGTGTACCTTTAACAACAGCTACTGTACAGTATATCTGTCGCCCCTAGACTCCCCACTTCTACACTCTTGTAACAGATATGTACAGAAGGGATTTTGCCATATAACTTTGCATTCATTTAAAATGTTGCTATTAAAAAGATGCCTGCAGCATTCAGATGCTCAGCCCAAACAGCAGGAGACACAAAGGCATAAATAAAAGATTTTTCACAAAGGCACAGACCCAAATAACCAGAAATCTGAGGAAATCGTTTTAGAAAGAAAACAGAGGAAAAAAACAACATTACAATAAAAAAGAATATGATGTCTCTTAATGTTCAAAACTAGTTCTCTAGACAGACACCATGTTCCCCAGAAGGTAATTTCATTTAAGCAAACAAAGTCACTGTTCATGGTGAATCGATAAGAATTCTAACTTGTGAGTTTCAAAGATACCTGTGACTCTTTTGAAGTCTTTTGGAAAATGTTCATTTTTGCCACTGACAAAAAAACATTTGGAGAGTTCTCTAATTTGAAATGAAATATTTGAATATCTGTTTTTTTCAACAATCGACAGACTTAGCCTTGGTTTTGATCTTTAAGTTCTTTCTTGTCTGACAAGGAAGATTAATTGCAGTCATTTCTGTTTTTTCTTCTTGTTTTTTTTTTTTCCACAGGGGGTCCGTCAGAAGGCAAACTTATTCCTGGAGACCAGATCATAATGATAAATGATGAGCCTGTTAGTACAGCTCCTAGGGAGAGAGTCATTGACCTTGTCAGGTAACCACTCTAGATTCCCCTTATTCAGCTGACAGGCTCAGAAGAGATCTCACAGATTAAATAAACTGAAAGATTCATTTTAGAGTATATAAAGGTGAAGAAAGATTGTTTAGCCAAATTTGGGGTTATTTGTATTCTTAAAATATATCCACCACTATAAATTATACACCATATACTGAGTTTGAACTGGGAGCTAGATTTTCATTTCTTCTAATTTTGTATTTCTAGATGCATATATAATATTATGAATTGATAATCATGTATTGGTATTTAAATGTTGAAAAGTTTTAATAAATTCCTCTGACAGTTGCCACTTGTGTTATATAATAAATGAGTTTAAAACATATGATGTAAGTTAAAGTTTCTATTATTCACTTTATGTCTAAAATACTAAGAAGAAAAAGGATTGAGAGTTTTGACAGCTGAAAGATATGAACTGTCATCCACTGCCAAGTCAGAAATGCAGAATGAGTTTCAAGAGGTCCCTTTGATTCTATTTTGGCTCCCTTCCCTTTGATGAATTCTGTTTAAAGTATCCTTCAGTGTTCGGTCTGAAATTTCTGTTTATCCAAACAGAACTACATGATTCAAGTTCTGACTTTAAAGACAGAAACACAGCAAAGTTTCAGTGTTTGCTTCTGATGGTGAAAAAAACACACGTTATATAAATACCGTCATCAAGAATTAGTACTAACATTAAATGATTTATTTTTAGAGGAACTGATACGTAGAAATAACATTGTATATGAGAACAAGGCCAAAGACAGTTTAATACCTATTGAAAAATGTCATCTATTGAAACACATTTTAAATGGAATATTGCAGGTTTCATAAGAATGAATGGTACTGTATATACATGCAGTATTGGAGGAAACAGATTATTATGTAGGATGTGTTTGGTGAATTTCTCATACATATCTTGTTGGGTATTGAATTTTAATGCATGACCTTGGAATGACAAATAGTTCTGAGTAAGTGAGTTGTTCACGCATACAAATGATCACCTTGAAATGATTATTTAATTTCTGCATGTTGCAGAAAGTGAAACTGAAGTGTGTGAATAACTGTACACATTGATTCATAAAATATTACATTTTGGTGGGGATTATAAAATGAGACACAGAAAGAAGGAATTTGAGTACAAAGCTGACACCCGTAGGAGTAGTAGAGATTAAGAAGGCAGTTTGAAAAAGTGATGGAGGTTAAGGAGGAGGAGGAGAGAGAGAAATGACACAGGTGGTTTCTTCTTTAGTTGCTTTTTAAATATTTTAATGTTACCAGTAACTTTTTACTGTATGCTTTTGCTTCCATGCCCACCTCATCATATCTAACATATTACAAAGGATAAACATATCTAATATCTCCCTTTTAATAAACAGGCATGCAATACACACATTTAAAAAAAGACCTCTCTGTAGATTACTGCTGCCATTAACATCAAAGCATATTTCCAGTTAAAAGAGAAAATGAAGACCCTAAAGATTGTTACATACGTGATATGTGCCATATTTAAGCATGTAATTAGTAGCTGAATGACTTCAGTGCACGCAAATCTTCAGAACAACCTTTCCACTTAGTTCAGCCTGGAGAGAAATAAAGCAGTGTCAATATGAAGATTTGGGGTGATTTCTTATGGATTTGTTTTGCTTTTTTAAATTGTCTCATGCAATTGGGTTGAACGCCTTAAATCATAAGAGGTTAGGCTTCAAATTGTTTCTGAAGGATTAGAATTGAAGCATTATAGTAACTTTTTATAGTACCAATGTCTTAAAAGGATAGAAATATTTGCTTTATTTATTACATGCAACTGTTGGTCATAATATTTCACTGAAGCATCAAGATAAGTGATTTATTTTGTTTATAGAATAGAGTTTGAATATTTTGAGTGTGTGGTGTGTGGTGTGTTACTTGATGCTTCTTCCTTAAATTAGACAAAAAGAGCTTCTGTTGGTTTAGACTAGATTCATCCATTTGTTTTCCAGTAATACAAACAGCTCCTGACTTTTAAATGCATATTATTTTGTCAAGTAATACATACTACTATTCAACTATTTTGGAATACCCTAAAAAACAAAAAAGCAGACTGACTGTACAGTATATCACTTTACAAGACACTCCAAAAATGTGTTCTAATGCACAGCTGTTGATGTAGTTTTCCCCAAGAGGATTCTATAAGAATTTATTATTTAAGGATATTTACAATGGAGGGCATGTTGGCATAATGGTCAGCATTTCTGCCTTGCAGCACTGGGGCCCTGGGTTCAATTCCAATATTAGTGGAGTTTGTACAGTATGTTCTCCCCATGCGGGAGTGAGTTTCCGCTACATGCTCCGGTTTTCTCTAAAAACCAAAAGTCTAAAAACATATTGGTTGGTTAACTGGCTTCTGGAAAAACTGGCCCTGGTGTGAGTGTGTGTGTGTCCTGCAATGGATTGATGTTCCATCAAGGGTGTACCCTGCCTTGCGTTCCTTGTTTGCTGGGATAGGCTCTGGCTCTCCTGCAAGCCTGAATTAGGCTCCCACTTAATTTGCAGCCTTTATACATGGTGTGATAAAAGATGTATGAAAGATTGAAACACTGGTCAATATGGAGGGGAAATGTACCAGTATATTCACAACTATTTCCAAAATTTGTTGGAGATTAGCAGCATTCCTCTAGGGTACCTCTTTTATTATTTATTTTATTTTCTATAACTGCAGTGGAGTACTAGTACCAGAAAGCACATGCTGTGCAATTTGTCGATTTCAGTATTCTGCCATGGTCACAATCAGCTGCCCCTTCCCAGTGTTACCCCATTTTTACCACGAATGAGCATTCATGAGGCTCGGTAAATATCGACATCAACAAGGAGATACTATGACATTTCTGTTCACTTGAAAAAAATTATATATATCGTACAACCTGATTTGAAACCTAAAGAACAGACATGAATTTATTACAATGTATGTTGTTGCTTTCATTATTTTCTGTTCTTTGTTGTTTTTTCTATCTGTAGAAGCTGCAAGGAATCGATTGTGTTGACAGTGGTTCAGCCTTACCCAGTGAGTATTCCCATTCAAACAAACTGGTCTTGTTCTCCATGCATGCTGCTCTCCTTCCAGACAGAAACTGCTTTGTCTGAAGGGGAATGGTATGTGAGAGCTGCATAGCGAGGCCCCGGTTTATCAATACTGCAAGTATACTGCAATGCTGCATTATATTCTAAACATGAAGCACAGAGTCCAAATATTGTGTCTCTTCATTTGAGCCATTGTTACCTTTAGATTTCGAGCAGTTTGGATTATGTGTGGATCTGGCCTGCACCAGTTCCAGTGCGCCTTAATCCAAACTAGGTGAAATCCTTCCAAATATACTGCACCCTCATTATAAAACTGTCTGTTAAAACATAATCCCCTGACATGAGACCCCATTAAACCCCATTGAAAACGGCCTTCATTGAAACACACAACTCTTTACAACACACAAGGTGGCTGAATCTCTGGGAGAGAGTTATAATAAGGATGGAGTGTAAAAGGAAAAAAATGTTGGTGTGATTACGGTATGTAAGAGTACACTAATTTATATGAATTATATAAATATAAATTATATGAATTAATTAGATATTGGATATGCAAAGATACTGAATTTAGTAGAATATGCAACATTTACAGGATTGCCTAGTTCAATGTAGACTGACAAATGCTGAATTTTTATGCAGCAGTTAATATATTTAAATAATCTGATCATTGCAAAGTAAAACAGAATGCTTTTTTTTATCAAATGCTTGATCATGGTCTTGATTTTGACTGCCAGAAGAGGACGCCTGTTGCACACACATTAATTTTGACTGAGAAGGCCAGTCTGAACTCATAAAATCTTTTCATTTGTACTACTTTACTTGAATTCTTGTACAGTTTTAATGCATAACTAATGATCAGCTCTTTAAATTAGCCAGTTTTATTAACATTCATTTGCACTAATGATGTTTCCCACTGTCCTGGGACCCAGGTCTGAATGCATGTGCATTTCCCTGTTCTTGCTGAAATTGCTTTTGCCAAAAAAATAATTCAGACTCAAAGCGCTGTGACTCCTTAAAGCTGGGCCGCTGTGTCCCACCAGATTTAGAACAAGCATGATCTCCAGCTTCATAATTAGGATTCTAATTGTTCTCATTTATCACATAGTTCACAACTGACATAGAGTTATTGGCTATTAACATTGCCAATGGGAGGTTACTGCTCTTCATACATGTATCAGGCAAAGGATTCCAGCAGCATTAATTACACAGACCCTTAAACCTGATCTCCATCCTAATTCAGATTCAGAGCCAGTCCTTCTGAAAATAGCAATGAAGCAAAAAAATAATCATCTTGGACTCTCCTCGGACAACACACAGAAACATGGCCTTGTACACTGGAGTCATCAAAGCTTTCTCACAGATATGTCATTCCAAATATTTTCAGAGAAAAATATTTTTTAATGTTAATTTCAAGCTTGTTTTTCAAAACACGCAAAATGTGTTTTTGAGAACTTTGCATTTCTAAATGGAATATCGAATTAATCAAATGGAAAACAAAATAAAGCCATATAGAATTTATGCCACTGAACAGATTTATATTGACTATCACCTGGATCATTGTGTGCTGATTTCTTTTTCAGTTGGTTTTCAGTTACAGTTTACCAATCAATATCAACTTTTAATTCTTGCAGGTTTCCAAGTATACTTTAGTTTTAGAAAACTAGTACTCAAAAACGTTACAATAAGCACAAAAACAGAAATCAGCATCTACTTCAAGAAGCCAAATACTACCACTAAACATCATTCCGTTGTAAGCAGCTTTTCTGGAAAATCAGGTATTATAGCTAAAGGATAAGAACACATTAACTTTCATAGTGAGTGATAAAATAATCTCCTGCATTATACACTGCGTGATATCTAGGTTTTCCTGAACCATTTGACATGTATATAAACAATATATGGCTAAAACACTGGCGTTTTAACATTAAAAGTCTCCTACTCAATTACACCACAACACTACCTAAGAGCAAGAAAAAGAGCCATTTTACAACAACAAAAGGAGCATGAACTAAAGTATTAGAGTTGGTTAGATCTCTTCGTTATTTGATAACTGCAAGACACATTTAGGCACATATGTTTCATATCATGTGATTGTGAAGGGGGGAAATAAGCATTTGCATTTAATTTTGTGCCTCAAGAGAAGACATATTAGAAATGTCATGTGGTAGAATTATTTTTGTACTAAATTTAAGATTGTTGTAATACCCTGACAAGAGAATTTCTTTTAATCACACGTGTACTTTCTTCCCGATCCTGTTACATTAAAATATACAGTATATATAGTTTTGTAATTTATTTTGTACTGTGTTAAGTACCTTTAACATTTTTCATGCTATTGGCCAATTGAACAGCCCAAATGAAGATACATTAATATTAAAACTCTTCTTTAAATGATGGTGGTTCATATACTGTAAATAAAGTCAACTGTAGCCCATGATATTTAAAGTTATCATTTAACAGCACAGAAGGTTCAATATGTCAAATGTTGTTTTGTGCCATATTGTGAAATTATGTAGCATATTGTAACAGGAAACTAGAATATCTGGCACTTGATATCAGTCATGCAGCTCTCTTCTCATGACCCGTTGCTATCACCTCACTAATTTAGCTGCCCAAGAATGCATTATTTTTAACTTGGAGATCTGATTCCAAAGCTACCAGATTAAAGCATTAAATACACTAAACGTAAAAAAAGATATGTACTAAGCTGAACAGACTGATTAGAAATGGTCATGAACACCCTACTAGGACAAATCGGCTGCAAACTGGTTCTTTATGTTCTTTTCAGTCTCCCAAATCTGCTTTCATCAGTGCTGCAAAAAAGGCCAGGTTAAAGTCAAATCCAGTCAAAGTGCGCTTCTCTGAGGAGGTCATTATAAACGGTCAGGTTCCAGTAAGTAGAAACCATGCATCTATATTTAATGATTTGCATGAAAATGTATGATATAAAGCTTTTTATAGCTTTGCAAAGAATAAAGCCTGATATCTCATTGCACCATCTGTAGAGTACTCGTAAAGATTATGCATATAAAAGGGAAGAAAAATGACTTATTAAACTGTTCAAAGCATATTATTTATATAGTTTATTACCCTAGTGTAATTAATAGTTTATTAGATTTAATTGACATGCAGTGCTTAGGGATTTAAAAATAGTTTGCATATTAATGTGTTTTTGAATAGCCCTTCTGCAAACTCACTTTAAAACATGTGATTTATTAAGACAATTGAAGGGCAAACTGGAATCAATTTTTTTTTAAAATAGAATACATACAGTTATATCTCAATATATTCCTGGTTTGGTTGCATAATTTACATGTGCAGCTTTGTTTTTTTCTGAAAATCTCATGATCAGTATCATGCTTCATTTAGTCACGTTGATTTTCAGGCTAAAGAAACATTATCTTCTGATGTAACACAAGTACATTTTAAATTTACCGATATTTATGTTTCCCTAAAAAAACTGTAATTTGTTAGCAGCAATCCTGCAATTTTAAGATACATGAAGTCCTGTATTTTAACAATTAATGTTCTAATTACATGATGAAATCGTTTTTTAAGCAACTTTGAAACTTTGAAAAGGCATTGTCACATTATAAGGCCGTGAACTATAGTACAGTATGTTGGTTCATATGAAAAATGATATTCAGTCAAGCATGATATTATGTATTGATCATGGCTCACTGTTTCACAAAAATGGGATTGTAATACATTTTCTGCTAACAATGAAACATAATTAGTTCATTACTGCAAATCATGTGACACGCTGTTTGTATCATTTGTTAAGTTAGTTGATTGCTTAATATTGAAATGTAATTTTTGTAACTGGCATACAATTAACACACAGTATTTGGTATCTAAAATGAAAATATCATTTTCATAACCTAATTTATGTGTTTGTGATGCAGTTGTGATGCAGTTCACCAGAGAAACAGCATCGGTAACACAGGCTACTGTAGCAAAGCTGCAGAAACCCCAGTTCCGTGATTTCCCTTGATGACTCACGTGTGCTTCTGACTGCAGCTTTGCTACAGTTACCTAGGAATTATATTTTTTCTAGAACGTTCTACACAAAATATACCATATGACATTTTTTCCTTATTCCTTTTAAACTATATTCTATAAACCTGTTTTGTGCTCTCTGGCTTTGTTACTGTTTTTTATTTGTAATGGAGTGTCAGAAGCCATAGTCATGGACTGTAGATGTACAAATAATGTTACAGGACATTCACATTTTAATTTAAATGCAGCGATTAAAAAAAGGACACAGTGTCCTTGCATAATTTGCTAAATGTGGTTTGCTTAAAGTGGTGGGATTGCTGTTAGCGATACTTCTGTATATCTGAAATTTGCACATACAGTACCTGAACAAACTCTTGCAGATTGTACCAGCAGTTCAGGAATTTCCAAGCTTTTTCTCAAACTTTATCTGTCATTTGTGTTATCATTGATTAGATTCTAATGTGCCTGATTCCAATATTTCACAGAACATATACAAAATAATAATTATTATCTGAGTTTGCAGTCAGACAAAAACATATTTATAGTTTTGTAAGAAACAAATGAACTATTCCAGTGGAATTAATCTCATAATTGATTACAAAACACTACATGTTACTTAACTCTGTATTGAGGTGTACTGAGAATAATATATTACAAAGGAAGTGTTGAAATATGGAGGTCATGTTGTGTGTCATGCTGTGATGTGATGTCTGTCATACATACCTCATACCTCTTCATGGGGTTTCCCTCAACCCCCTCAACCTCTTTGTGAGTGTATGATTCATACAAACATGGCAGGCCGAGCAAAAAATAGGTATTATAAATTGATATTTATGTTACTTTATGAACAAAATTCTGGTAAAACTACTAGATTACCATTATTTAAAATTACTTCTTCCGCATTGAGAAAGAAATTATCACTTCATTCATGCTAGTGAACCCAAACACTCGAATTTCACAGTATCAATCACGGCAGTCTCTTTTGTCATCAATTGCTTGAACTCTTAAGTTTCAAGGTTTACAAAAGGAAATCCTCATTAAACTATCTAAAGGGAATATTTTCCATCTGCCTAGGGAATTTCAATGCAATGTGAAATGTTAGAAAAGTACAAGTAGAGATAAAATTGTTTGAGAATGTAATGAGGGTATTGGGTTCTATTGCATATGGTATAACATATAAAGTAATTAGGATTCTAACATTTTGAAAATTAAATGAGTGAAAATATTTTTTATATCAGATCCTATTGTTTCTTTTTTAAAATGACTATTGACTAACTTTCATTTTCTAGGACACTGTCAAGGATAATTCTCTTCTTTTCATGCCAAATGTTCTGAAGGTGTATCTTGAGAATGGACAGACTAAGTCTTTCAGATTTGACAACAACACTTCAATCAAGGTATGTGAGTTATTTAGGGAAGTTCTTTAAAGACTAACCCCTGGCAACCTAAATGCACTGGGTTTTTTGTTGTTGTTTTTTTCCACACTACAGAGCAGAGCAGCACGATTCCAATCTTTAAGACTGCATTAGCATAATGACAATGATACAGCACGGTCAAATATTCATGACTCAGGGGTGTGGGGTAGATGTGTCTGTACCCCGGCTTAGCCTTTGTTGGGACACCAGTAGCAGAGGAATAGCTCTTGCCACCAGCACAGTTGCCTCTAGTGGACGTTTCGCTGTTTTGCGATCCCCTCCCTGCAAGGAACTTGAAACACATAAAAATAGTGAGGTGAACATTTTTCTAAAAATTGGGAAAGTGTCCTTGTCACCCCCCGACCCACAGTCACAACCAGGCCGGACATTTATCTTTCTGTTTTCACAGTCACATCTAGATTCTAGAATACAAGAATTAAAGCTGATATTTAATTTCACAAACTCCTGTAAATCCTTGGGTATGAACTTAACTGTGCTTTGCCCTCTGTGATGTAGCGCACAGCTTCCAAAAAACCAAAAAACAAAGCTGAAATTTCTTGAATAGATTGTGAATGAACCTTGGTCTAATTTTAAAACAGGGTCATTAAGGGCAAATGTCTCTTATAAAGGGAGCTTTGTGCCTTGGTTAACTGTTCTTGGGAGGACCGTAGTTCTAGTTTTGGCAGGAATTAAAAGAACTACAAATCCCATAGAGGGGTGAGAAATAAGCTACAAATCCCAGGAAGCTGAGGAACTGCTAGCCTTGCCATTGAAGTTTACAAAGTAACAAATAAAGGTTCACTCCACAACGAAAATTAAGAATAAAGAGTAAAATACAGCCTTTCAGCTTTCGTCTTTCTCAGGTGACTAAAAGGAAAACAGTCACAGCCAAAACATTGCTTTTAATACTTTTGTTTTACTTTTCAGTATGGAACTCACCTCTGCCTGCTCTGTTGTATCTTTCACACTGATGCAGCACTTTGCTGTTTTGTCATGCTTTGGAGGGAGTGAAGCAAACAGTTTCCACACACTTTGTAAATACTTTTTTGTAAAAACACAGAGATTGAGAAAGGTCTTTCTGTGGGGTTTTTTTCAGGAGGATATGTGGACTAGCCACTCCTCCTTTCTGATATGGTTAAATGTGTAGAGATTTAGTGCACCTAAGAAGAATTTAGACCTTTGTTTTGATTTGCTATTCATGAACTTTATTGGACCGAGTAAATAGAGACTGAGGTCCTTTATCCTGGCCAAACTTTGGTTTAGTTTATAAGCTGTCCCTCTAATCAAGACATGGAGCTTTTAATTAATTATGTAGAATAATCAAACAGGTGTAACCCACTCACATCTAGTTTGGTTTTAGCTTAATTATGCTGTAGGACAGGAAAAGTTAAACAAGACAGCTTGACATAGTGCCATTTTTACAATCCACACACAACTATACTACACAGTATACAAAATCTATGAATGTAAGCATTCACCCATGTTTAAAGAAATATTTAAATGCAGAAAGTGTTAATTACCTATATTGAGCGAATTTTCAGCTTGAAATCTATGTAGTGGTGTCTGAAACGTGCACTACCCAGACTGTACCCGGGTTCAGCCTTTGGTGGGGCCCCAGGTGCAGAGGAATGTAGTGAATGTAGTGAATATAGTGAACTATAACAATATGTTTGGCAGTATAAGTACTGTGTTTGTTTAAACCTAGACAAGCCACTTTATTTTATGTTGTGTACAGACAGTGCACAGATAGTGCTTTATTTGTGTTCCTGGATGCACTGGGTTTTTTTTTTCATTGCACACACGATGGTTAAAAAAAGAAATACCATTCTTGCCTCAGAAGTGTTTTATATTAACAAATGTTTCCTTTTTTATCAGGACGTTATATTGACTCTGCAAGAGAAGTTGTCCATCAAGTGTATTGAACATTTTTCTCTGATGTTAGAGCAACGGACTGAAGGGTCTGGCAGCAAACTTCTTTTACTTCATGAGCAAGAAATGTTAACCCAGGTAAGCGCTGCAATACAGTGCATTGTTACTAGTGCCTGGATTCATGATGTATGATGCGTTCTTTTCTCTCTGTGAAACCTAAAGCTAAGCTTTATCATTTTTTTACAGGATCAACACCAGTGTTCGTGATCATCCAGTTGTATTTAATAACCAATAATTGTTTAAATCTCTGCAAAGCACCTTAGTCAGGTTGTAGCTAATCTGCATTTCATGACTTTTGGACTCAAAACATTGTTTTGTAGTTTGTTTTTTGCTTAGACGTTTAAAAAGCACAACTTTCATGTAGTTGGTTCCGAACATTATCTAGGGAGTGCTCCTGTTGCATTCACTCAAGGAAAGAAAGGTTTGAAAGCCCTTTGTCATGGTTGGTTGTGAGTGATTCTGCTTTCATTAGGATTGGCATACTTCAGACTTTTTTGTGGTGGACTGGTCATCCAGTCCACCACCATCCAGAATTCAGTAGTACAGTGCAACCTGGAAAACCTCTTGTAGGAACATTGAACTGCATCTGAACCATTTTCCCATTAATTATCTCTCTTTTCTACAAATATGCATTAAATTTAATTGTTGCAAAAAACAACAGTATACAAACAGAATTCATCATACTTTGTGTTGTTTGTGTTATGCTCTTAAAAAACGTATATGTTTAATATATATATACTTAATGTAATAAAAGATCAAATATATATATATATTTCCTTGAAAGATTCTGTTAATAACTTTATTGATTTCCTTCCAGAATTTTAAATGTTAGAATTAAGAGGTACTTACAGTAACTTGTCTAAACAAGGCGCTATTTGTAACTGAACAAATTTAAATATTGATTTTAAAAAATAAATTGCATAGACCATGGTATATATATTCTGCTGCTATTTTAAGTTTACATGAAAAAGATATAGATCCTTACTTAGAAATCCTATTCAAGGAATCTCACAACTCACATTGACAACATCGCCCCCTGTGGTCAGTCTTGATAACATTTTCTTCTGCTGTAATTGATTTTTTTTTTTACAAAACAAATGTATTTAGTAAACTGCTGTATCTTGGTAAAAAATGGATACACACATTACATACACAGTTTCTCAGCACTACGGGGAGCAAGTTTCATGATATTATCTCTAAAAGAATATAAGAATGGATACAAATGAGAAATGCCAAACTGCCCATCTCCCTTATTTGGTTTTCAAAAGCTCTACTAACTATTCATCCTAATAAACCAGTATGTTTTAATAATGTCTATTTGTTTGTTAATGCTGTTATTCTGAAAAGAGAATCATATAACTGACAAAGTGAAACCCCCAGCTACATAAACAAAATTTTAAATTCCAGGTGTTGATTCTTAAAAGCAATATTTTAACGAACAATTTGAAGGTATGTTTTGCATAGTTTCGCATAGTCATGTGTTATTTTTATTAGTTCTTAGAGAGCTTTTCTTTACAGATAACATTTATAAAAGAGGAGAAAGTTTCAATGGAAATCATATTTTCTTCTTTGTTTGAGGGGGGGTGGAGGGTGCTTTTATCATTACTGTTACTGTCACACATTTTTCACAATCAGTGCTTGAAAAACGTCCAGACACACATGTATCTAAAGTCTGTGATACATGAAATTGAAAGGTGCCTGAGTGTAAGAGATACAGTAAACCGAAAGAAAATAATCATCGGCATAAAAGAGAAAGTGGTGTGAACGTCTAGTAGAATTTGTCAGTATGACCATCTTCATGGTTTGGGGCCCAGTGAAATCTTTCTTCCTCAGCACAAACACTTCCAAGATCTTCCTTCTAACCTTGTGGTTGCAGGCAAGGATGACAAATTCCCTGCTCAGTATTCATGCAATCTTTCAAGAAGACACCTAAGGGTTTTATTTATTATATTCAGCAACAAGGTTAAAACCTGTCATTATTTACCATTTTATTTTATTTACCACTTTGGTTATAATCCATATCAGGAATCTGCATTAACAGATACTGTACAGTACATCGATGTATACTGTATAATATTTCAATATTCTATGTGGCAGCTTGAATTTCTGTTGAAAGTATGTTTTAACATGTGGCAATAAAATTGCAGTTATTTCCAAAGGCAGGTTCTCATTTAAAATCATATGCACCCTGATAACATGCCACTAATTAAAGAACAGAGAGTATGTTCTCTTAAATGTGATTATGCTCTTTTGAGCTTCAAAAAAGGCTGTTAAAAAGGCTTACTCTAATTTTCCATTTTAGAAATACAGTAATGTGAAAGTACATCTTAGGGTTGTTTATTAACCTAGTAATGGGTTTAAGGAATTTGAGTCTGTTCATTAGAAATTAGTTAATTGAAAACTTTATGTTCTGTGACATCTCATTCCTGAACTGTTCGTTTCAAGATGTGTCTTTATTCATAGCTTGAAATAAAGCCGTGAAAAAAATAGCTCAAAATTCCTTTTTAAGGTGTTTGTCTGTTTTGATGTGTTTTGTAATAATTCGTTATGATTCTCTCCCACCAGGTGACACAAAGGCCAGGGTCACACAAAATGAAATGCTTTTTCAGAATTAGCTTTGTTCCTAAAGACCCAATTGACTTGCTCAGAAGAGATGCTGTGGCATTTGAGTATCTATATGTCCAGGTATGTCAGAAAATGGGGAAAAAAACAATATTTTATCAAAAAAATCTATATTTAATATTATCACAAAAATTTCTACCAGAGCTGGAAAATATGTCATTAATTTTAATACTAGTAGTACTATACCTACAGTAGTTCAGGTGGGTAGCTGCGTCAGCACGGCCGAAACGTTGTGTTCTCTTTCTTCTTTTTTTCAGCATGGAATAAACCTATTACTTGTTCCTATACCTACAGTATGTGGGTTCGTTAGTGGATTATTTGCTTAGTTACCATTAATTTTCTTTAAAAACAGTGAAGCTGCTAAAATTATCCCTCATTCCCAAACCTTTATGCTTACTTCACATTGAAGCTACTCTGCCTTACAATTCCCTAGAAAAAAAATAGCATCTTATTTTTTGGTTATGCAATTTAGTGTTTAGTGTTTGAGTAGCCATAAGTGTAAAAGTAGTGTAAAACCTAGTGTAAAAGTACAAAGGTACAAAAACATTCGGCACTGATTACATACAGTATAAAATGTATTTGAAAGGCAAGGATGTGGGGTAGTGGCAAATTAAGTTATATTTCTCATTTTCAATCCACTGTTGTAATATTGTATCAATTTACATTTTTTTCTTGTAACTATTGTACTTTTTTTATTGAAATAATTTGTAGCTTTCTTCTCACCTATTATTATTGGCAAAAACAGTTAAGAACATGGATCTGCCATAACAGAATCCTCAAGAATGATTTCACAGCTTTTGCAAACCTTTGCAACCCAAATTGTCCTTTTCTAAAATTATCTCAACAAAAAAGTAGTTTGAAGTAATGGTACTAAAACATTGCAGAATTTGAAATTACTTTCAAAACTATTAAGTTATCTGTCTGTAGCACCATACAATTTAATTGCTAAAAAAGCATGGTACAGTACATGGAGTGTTTTTGAGGGAATTTTCAGACCTTTTTATAAATTTTAATATACTGTATATAGAATTAATTTTCTCCTACAAGATATCTTAGGATTTTGTTCTTTAAGTGCTGAACATCCCTTGAAGATGCCTCACATTTAGTATTGTTTTGTTAAATCAGCACCCCATGATTTTGGGTTTGTGTTTTGTCTTTTAATGTTGTTCATGCTTAATCAAACAACAGAAGTTCAATATTTTAAAAAATATGCAAAAGCTGAAACCAGCAACCAGCCTCACCTGATCGTAAATGTTGGCCACACACTTACACCTTGAATCACTCTAAAAAATGAGTTCAAATAACCATACTATTAATTTTTTTGTTCAAAGACGTACGAAGCTGAACTACACCAAAATTGTCATATACTATACAGTAGATTACTTCTTTTGTGCTGTTCATTTTTTCATGCCTCCTTGTAATTTCTGTTTCCTGTTGTCACAATAATACAGTATAACTATAATCTGGACCACACTGAAATAACCAACTTTGGTTGGCAAGGGAATTCTCTTCTTATTCCTATGATTTTTATCTTTTTGGCAGAGCTGTAATGATGTGGTACAGGAGAGATTTGGCTCGGAGCTGAAGTATGACACTGCATTAAGGCTTGCCGCTCTACAGATGTACATTTTAACAATCACCACCAAGCAGACGCAGAAGGTCTCCCTCAAGTACATTGAGTGAGTGTTCAGCCCTTCAACTGTGGTTATACCTGTAAAATGGCTGTTTTCATTGTTTCTGCCCTGTGGAAACTGTAGTTATGCAATTTTATCTCTGAGAAGTGCTTTACGGGCTTTACAAAAGTTTTCAGAATAGACCTGAATCACTTACATACAGTAGCATTCATTTTAGTCATCTTGGACATATTCACAAAACTATACTGTATATATGGGAATAAATATCTAGTTAAAACAAAAGGCTAATATTCCTATAATTTGTGGCTACCCTCCCCTCAAACTAAATACTATATTTATTTCTAATATTACTTAATTTTGGCTTCTAAAATCTTTCTTCCTTTTATTATATATTTTGTATTAATGTAAATTTGACTGCATAATCCCCCCCAACACCCACCTTTACACCTGAGATGAAGGGTGTACTCTAGGAAGGCCAAAAGAGATGCAAAACTACTAAAATATGTGCTAATTAATTAATCCAATTATACTTAACGGCATCTACTTTTCTCGCAGTTATATAATTTGGGTCTGTGGTATAACAGGGATTTTTTCATATTTAGATATTCATTAATTTAATAAATGATATGTTTCTAATGTTTGATGGATTGCTCACCAATAATGTAAGGACAACAAACCTTGCAGAAAGATTACTGGCCTACAGTTAATGTGTATGCACTCATTAACATTTAAGTTTAATCTCTGTTGTCTGAAAAATCTCATATAAACAATGCGTAGGGCCTTTCATCAATTTCTTTTTGTGCTTTCAAACCCATTTTAAAAGTGCCACTCTTGTATAACACCAGTGTTCTTCACCCACAGGAAAGAGTGGGGATGGGCCAATTTCCTCCCTCCAGCAGTCTTATCCAGTATGAAGGAGAAGAACATAAAAAAAGCACTCACCCACATTCTGAAAACGAATCAAAATTTAGTTCCTCCAGGCAAGAAGGTATTTATCTTCTGTTCTATGTACAATCCATACTGCAAGATTAACATGAAAAATATTGCCCTTATTAAGGCAGTACAACCAGATCTATTTATAGTTTATGTTTTTACTATCTGCATGTAGAACCTTGCACTTGTCTACAGTACATTAAACATAATCTGCCAGGCGTTTGCCCAGTCTTTAATTTTATGTTATTTTTTTTTTAATCCTTAAACTGATTCTTCAGTGTTTGCTTATCCTTCTAATTTAGTGCCATCTGCAAACTTGACTGATTTTCTAACTATACCAGATCATTGATGTTAATTATGAAGAGCAGTGGTCGCTGCACTAATTACATCACCTAAACAATAACAAAACACACGTAAGATTTGTCATCTTAAAAATACCACTGTTAAAATAAGTCTGTGTTTGCCAAATTGCATCTTCACAGGAATGATAAGCAATTTATTTTGATTGACGTTGTTATTATCTAGATGTCAAATACTGTGCCTGTATTTAGACTGTCTGTAAAATAAGCAAACAGGTCTGTTCTTTGTTTTCGTAGTTCATTAAAAGTAGTACTTTGAAAATGGCTTCTCTTGATTTAAAAGCTTGAAAAGGTATTGAGAGTATGTTTGGGATGTAATGTTTTTTCTCCAGCTAGCTAATTTAAACAAATTACTGTACCATAGTTCATGCAAAACATTAGCTCTACTCAAATAAACAGCACAGGAAATCTCCCTATCTTGGCAGCAGTCAGAGAGGTTAAGTGTTGTTTAAACAGCATCGTTTTGTGATATACAGTAATGTCATTTTAAAAGTCTAGTGCAAGAAGTATAAAAGAAAAGCAAAACACAAACAAACAGAAAAACAGAATTGCCAACATTTTCAACCCTTAACAAAAGAAAACTTTGGTATACGGCATATGTGTTCTTACTGCATTACTGCATTTTTCATAATGAAACGATCATAGGACATATCTACAGTATCTACCGTGTGGAGTTACTCTTTATCATTTGCAAGGCGGCAATGCACACGCACTGTTGATGATATCACTAATTGGAAGACTGCAGCCCTTTCCTCACTTCTACTCAAGAAATTATTTTCTTAGGTGAAGGTCACATTTAATATTGTGACAGTCAAGCCACCAGTACTCAGAAACGTCAGTATTGTTGATCAGTATGGTGACAGTTTTGTAAACAGGTCCACCACCAGGCCCTGTTGAAGCTGACTGACTGGAAGTGTGTGGGTAGATATTTGCTGTCATTTTTTTCTGAACCAAATTCCAAGGTGAAAACTGATTATTCTGTCAGTTTTGAGTTGTGAGTTGCCTTCTCCAGTCTCCTTTCTGAAGTTTAAAGCTGTGCCTTAAAACTAATCCCAAAAGGAACGGTTGTTAAGGGTTTGATTTGTATTGCACTTGAGAGAAATGCAAATTAATGCAATAAGTAGTCTTTAGTGTCAGGGTTTTATTGGTTTATTTTAAAAGAACAAAAGGATATACTGTAGTTACTGAGCCACAACAGTATGAGGCGCTAAGAGAAATTTTGCATCTGGTTCCAAAACTTTTAAAATGTACTTAAAAAATTTATTTAAATAATAATGAGCTGATGTAAGCTCTTTTATTGGTCAAATAAAAGATAGGAGAACCTGAGTTATGTCTTTTCAGTGAGCTGCCTTCCAGCTTCTTATGATAAAACGTTGACTTTACATAAGCAATTACTACCCATACTGTATACTGTATATTGTACATGTAGTGCTGTTCAATCAGAAACATTGACGCTTTACAGCTGTTGCATGTAAAGATACTTAGCACCCCTACAGTATATACAGTACATTCATACTATAGAATGTTTCTTTGATTATTAATACCTGCCTTTGAATTGCATGGGAATTATTGTACTCAGCATATCTCCTGTAATTTAAGATGAAGAATGTCCTTTTTTATGCCCTTTCCCTTTTGCGGTTGTTTTTTTTCCCCTCTTTCTGGTTTACTTTTTTAATCATTCTATTATTATTTTCAGTTATCTGCTCTGCAAGCAAAGGTCCATTACCTGAAGTATTTGAGCGATTTACGCTTGTATGGAGGAAGGGTGTTCAAATCAACACTAGTGGTATTTACTATTTCCTTTTTCCTTACACTTTCACAAAAGTCAAAACTATAACTACTATCGTATATAAGGAAATCCAAAGGGTTATGAATTTTGTGCTCTGAGAAAAGGACAACGGGCTCTGTTCTCATAACTATCCTTGGCCTTGCTGAGTAGCTGGCTGATAGCTGCAATCGCTCACGACTCTCTTTTATCAGGTAGCAGACATTCCGTTGGGAAACTAAACGTTCTCTTAGTACACACACAACTGAAACTGCCTAAGAAAATATCTTGTAGATGTCCATGATGTCCAGCAGTACAGATAAACAGCTTTTCAGGTCAAAACAGCAGAACTCCATAGTAGTCTATTCATCATACCAGCATTTTGTGGGATTATTGTGTGTAAACCAGCCCATTGTGAGAAAATAATAATAATAATAATAATAATAATAATAATAATAATAATAAGCACATATTACCTAAGGCTGCATATTGGTTCTAAAGTAGGAAAAGGTGTATGAATGTGTTTTAAATACGTTTAAACAAAAAACACAAAGGAGACTTTCTCATTCTAAGGTTTCTCAGTCTTTTCTTTATGTTAATCGATTTTTCGAAAAACTTTAGATTATCCTGTTCTTGTTTCTATGAACAGCAATGTCCAATAGGATTCTTCAGACATAAAAAAACGTGAATTTTTTAAAACCTCATTACACAATGTATAATAAACAACATCTCCTGTAGAGTGTTTTCTGGAAAACATAATCACATTAATGCTGACAAATTTTACTGTTTTTTTCTCTTCATTTTGTTACAACAGCAAGGTGAAAAACACACAGAAGTGACTTTGCTCGTGGGCCCTAGATATGGAATAAGTCACGTGATCAACACCAAAACCAACCTGGTAGCCCTCTTGGCAGATTTCAGCCATGTTAACAAAATAGAAATGTTCACAGAAGATGAAACAAATGTCCGAGTTGAGCTTCACGTGTTGGATGTGAAGGTAATGTGTTTTATGATCTTTCTGTTCATCCTTGTTTATTTCTGTGCTTTGATCAGCATGTGATGTGCTAATGCTCCTTTACTATTTCTGGGACTTTTGCAGCCTATCACCCTTCTCATGGAATCCAGTAATGCCATGAATCTTGCGTGTTTGACAGCTGGGTACTATAGGCTGCTGGTTGACTCAAGACGCTCCATCTTTAACATGGCAAGCAGCAAGAATGCAGGTGCAGTGGAAGCAGGTGTGTGCAAAGACTCCGAACTAGAATGTGGTGTCAGCTGGGCGTGATATCTTTTCATCACACCAGTTATGTAACATCATCTGCTTGTTCCCAAACTCCACTTCATTCCATCAAGCACAAGACGGTTATAGATTCCCTCAGGCAAGTTTCCAGCATTGTTAGCATAACACTGATTCTACACATTCAAATACAGCCATTTAGAAAGTTAGCCACTCTATTCGAATGACTGCATGGTGAAAATTGTGTACTGTGGACCACCTTTACCAGCATTTGTGTCCTGCTGAGCCTCCACAGTCTTCCGTTATACATTTTAGTTACACAATTATATATTATATTCCAACTAACTTTATATAAGGCCTTTTGTTAAGTGCAGCTACTAAGGAAATAAATAATAAAAATAGACCCTGCCATTCTTAACCAGATAAGTCAATTAAGAACAAATCCTCATTTGTACTGACAAATAACACGCTGTACAGTATCATTAATTGTAATAATTAATTGTGATTTTACACAATAATCAGTGTATTTGAATAACATATACTGTATGCTGCCGTATATCACTGATCACAAGTGAGCAGTGTGAATGTATTATTTGAGCCCATTGTGTTATGCTTGATATATATTGTAGCTTTACACATACATTATGTGACTGTTAAGGGCTATGCATTAAATCACGTAAGCTGTGAAAAAAATGAAAAAAATCAAATAAAAAGTTCTATGGAATATGTAATGTAATTACATTTTGATTATTACATTGTTGTAAGATTATGATCTTTTATGGTGAAAATACATACTGTATATTCACAGTGCAATACACTGGGAAATGAGGTAAAAGTGCTTTTTCTATTGAAAATATTTCTCCCATCAATTCAAACCACCTTAATTAAACATAATAGAATGGAAAATAAAGGAAAACTTAGTGCTTTGATCATTTCCACATAAAAACCTAATGAACCTTGTCATTTCCATTTCTGTTACAGGCCAGGATCACAAGGGGAAGTTTAACTTCCACGCTGCTGAATGGACTTACAGCACGTCCTTTACCACAGGAGAAGACCCCAATGTTCAAATATGTATTAAAGACACAAAGGACAAAGACTCTGAATACACAGAGAGTGTAGAACACGAAAAAGATGTCACTCCCATTTATATCACTGAGGTTCTGAACTGTGGATACAGTCCAAAAACAGTGGACATTCCTGGGGAAGGCATCGAAATTGGGAGTGAAAGCAAACACGCACAATCATTTCTATCTGTGCCAGGAAATAAAGCGCAGGACTCTCCAAGAAGCGCCAAGGTGTCCTTTATATTTGGAGATCATAATTTAGAAAGCATAAACCCCCAAAACCTGGGATATGAAAGACTCATGGATGAAAGCCCAGAAATGTTAGATGAAAGATCGATGTTTCTGCAAAACGATGATGACTTTAAAAGCATGGATGCATCCGCAGATGCTGAGGCATTTCAATATGCTCCCCATGCAGTTTACGCAAACATTAATGAAGCTAAAATATTTGGAAACACAGAAGGCATTGAGGAGCCCCTTCTGCGCGATATCTGCTACGCAGAAAACACGGATGATGCAGAGGATGAAGATGACGCAAGCTGTGAGGAGGACATTGTGGTTGGAGAAATGGATAAGACTATGCTCCTTAAGCTTTCGGGCTCTAGCGATGACATTATTGACCTGACCTCGCTGCCCCCACCAGAGGGTGATGATGATGAAGATAATGACTTTCTTCTCCACTCCCTCAATCTAGCCATCGCTGCACCTCCGCCAGGTTTCAGGGACAGCTCTGACGAAGAAGAGTTACAGAGAAGCACAGACGATAAAGGCCAAAGCAACACTGATGACATTCCTGTGTCACTGATTGATGCTGTCCCCACACAGACGGAAAGCAGCACTGAGAAAGCTCTGGATGATGCTGTCGTTTCTACTTTACAAGCACTGGAGGCCTTGGCTGCATCGGAAGACCAGAATGTTCCACAGTCAGACGATAGTTCAGGTTCTTACACAATTGTAACATTTATTCATTGATAGCATTAATGTTTAACATATTCACAGCTGTTTAGTTTTGGATACAAAACCAAATTCTTCACTGTTTTTTTTTGTTTTTTTTCGTTTGTCATTGCTTCATACATTTGTAACATTTTTTTTTTTACATTTTGATGTTGTTTTGATGATTTAGACTCTACCATTCCATTGTGTGTGTCTTTGTTTAATCATTTGTTTGATTTTTATGTCAAATAGTGCATTTCAAATCAGTCTTCCCATTATTTTTTGTTTAAATAAAACTTTTCTTATTTAAAAGTGTATACAAAAGTGCCTCGGATGTATTCATTAATTAGCTGTTTATCTTTCTGTGACATACAGGTGTAGCAATATCACGGGCCTATAGTCCCGAGTCATCTTCAGATTCTGGAAATGAAACAAACTCTTCTGAAATGACTGAAAACTCCGAGCTGGCCGCAGCACAGAAGCTCTCCGAAAACTCCATGCGTCTGTTCGTTGCTACTGCTGAAGGGTACCAGACACTTGTGGAAGAGAAAACTGAATTCCCCATCTCTCCTTGTGAAGGTGACTCAACTGCAAAGACAGCACTACAGAGTCATCAGGAAGCAGACCCGCAGACCAAAGCTGTGCCTTCCAAACAGATCCTTCATTCAGATGACATTGAAATGGAGCCAGAGACAATGGAAACCAAATCAGTCACAGATTACTTCAGTAAAGTGCACATGGGGACACTTGTGTATTCCTGTACGAACAAGAGAAAAGTTAAACAAGCAGACACTGATGCCAGAATACAATTTGAAACTAATACTACCATTAAAAGACAGCAGGCAAAGAAGGCAGATTCTATTAATGAAGAACCAAACTTGGTTGCAAAATACAATACTTTCACCACCAGAGAAGCTCAGCGTCTGAGCCACTATGATCTCGAGCGAACATCATTTCGTGAAAAAAGTCAAAGGTGGCACCATGTTTCTGAAAATAAGCTGGGAGAAAAACATATCCCTGGGGTAACTGCTGGCAAAAACCTGATGAAAGGCTCTAATGCTTGTCGGACTGAATTTGAGGGAAAGGCAGCTGAACCAGACGGAGATGACCACAGTACATCAGGGTTGGGGCGCGAAGAAAGCTTTCAATCAGATGCCACCTACATCTCCTCAGCCAAAGAGCCTAACGATTCTGAACAAACAAACTTCTCCGCAGATGAGCAGCAGCTGAAGCACCCGCCGCCAGAGCAGAATGTCTCCCGCCTTTGTGAATACCACTTGGCAAAAAGGATGTCCTCTCTGCAAAGTGAAGGTCATTATTCACTCCAGAGCTCACAATGTTCATCCCTTGATGCGGGTTGCAGCACCGGGAGCAGCAGCTCTGCAACCCCTCTGGATTCCCCTCTTTGCACCTCTGAGAACAAGCACATGCTTACAGACTCTTCCCTGAAAAGTCTAGGTTATGTGGCAGCTGAGGAAAAAATCCATTCAACTCCGAGCCACGGGCCTCAGAGCAAGGACCTCCATCAAGGCGAAGGGACATTCCACAGGAAGACACTGTCTAATTTGCATGCAGCATCTGGTTCTGAACCAATTTTTGGTACCTTACGAGACGGGTGTCATCGGATGCCCAAGATTAAAGAAACCACAGGTACAGCAAAAAGGAATAATATTTTTGCCGATTTTTATGTGAATCAGGGATCTGGTAAAAATAGTTCAAAAGGAGGGAATTACAGTGATGCTTATAGACAGTTGCTAAATTATATAACTATATCTCAGATGCATCGGGGTGGAAAATTACAAGGTTCAGGCTTAGGGGGAAGCTGGAGGAGTAACAAGGGCAGAAAAGATGGTAAGAAGCATGCGAGTAATGATCCAATATGTCTAGAACTTGTTAGAAGTAAAAGTAACACCATTTCAAGATCTCCCTGCATGCCATCCTCAGTCACACACCTTGAAAGTCAAAGAGTAGCCCAGCCTGATCCAGCTGCCTCAGATGACAGCAAGGGTCCTAAACATTTCCTCTCTACTACCTTACCAAGTAAATTGAAGACAAGCCCTGATTTGCATGCACAGAAATCCGTAAACAGTCTTGAAGTAAAACGTGTAAAAGAAAGGAGAAGCTCATTTTCCAGCCTTGAAGGCAAATTAGAGCAGACTATTGATTCAGAACAGTTTTTCTATCTGTGTAAGAGGAGTTCACATGGAAGTGGCGTCAGGCCCTCTGGAAGGGTTCATGACAATCAGCCTGCTGATGACGATGAACAGTTCAAGGCTGATTGTAGAACCAAGCATGTTGTCAGGGAGATGCTTAATGATTCTCTCTGTTTTTCTACTACCCCTAGTGTAGCTTGCACAGAGCTCGAGAAGGCAAGAAGAGGAGGCATGACTCCAGCTTATTCTAAACAGGTCAAAGCCAACGCCATTCCACTGCCATCAAATATTTGCACAGATTCTAATGTGCCAAACCAGGAGACCACTCACATCCCTAAACAAAACCATGTCAAAGCAGCACCCTTAAACTCAAGACCCTGTGATCTTAGTTCAGGGAGCATCAAGTATCCCCAAAAAAGTAAAATGCTGAGGAGAAGCAGTAGCAGTGTGACTGCACGAACTGGGAGCATTGAAACGCTCTTTGAAAAAACCAAGGCCACAATAGGTGGCAAGTGCTTGCAATCTCCTGAATCTCCCGAGTCCAATTCACAAAAAAGAGCTGACCAGCCTGCAGGTAAGAAGCTGTCCAAAAGTTATTCTCAGGGCTCTGTCGCCACACACTCCACCAGCTGGCCCACTGCGAGTGGCAACAAGGAGAGCAGGAGGGCTTCAGTTGTGCTTCCAGTGCCCAAGGACTCAAAGCAGTTCAGGACTTTGCCAAAACTGGACACAAGCACCTGGAAGTGCCGAGGTCCCTTCAGCTACTGTTTCCTCAAAAAAGGAAACAATGCTGAGGAGGATGAAGAAGACGGAGATAAGCTCTCAAGACTTTACACTTCACAGTTGCCTACAGAGTCGCAGGGGTCAACGGGACTTTTGTCTCCTACTGACATCAAAGGAGAAACACTGGACCTGCCAAATGCCGCTGCCCTGAATGCTTCCACCATGAATCTTACCTCAGAAAGGCTAAATATGGTCGCTAATCTGAATGACATGGACTTTAGTGCTCGAATTGCCAGGATTAATACTCTGAAAGATAAGGTATATTCTTTCCCAACTGGGTTTTCAGCTGCACAAAGGGATGCAAGCGAATTGATTGCTTTAGTACGTTCAAGCGTGGGTAAGAGAGAGAACATGCAGCCCGAGGTCCATGAAAACGTGCTTTCCCAGTACAAGCAACTGCTGTCCATCGAGTCCAAGGAGCTTGGGAGTGCCTGCAGGAAAATAGCAACAGCAGACAAAAGTGCAGAAGAAATGCTTTTGGCAATGACATCTAGTTTCCAAGTGCTCTGTTCCCTAACAGAAGCCTGCATGTGTTTAGTGAAAGGAATGAGTGCAGAGACTCAACAACGGGAAGTCGTATCTAAAATAGATGAAGTCGTCATGAACTATATTTGTCTACTAAAAGCAGCGGAGGCAGTGTCAAGCACCCCTCCTAGTGACAGCAGCGTGAAAGCATTAGTACGACATTCGACTTCCATGTCCGCTATTGTAAGCACACTAACACGGTCACTTAAAACACTTCTTAACAAATGAGTACTATCCTTCTCTTCTAATGTACTTTTGCAAAGCCATACATAGAAATGTGGGATCCCCACTGTGTGAACTGATGTAACAAACTTTACCCTCTGTACAGTTTGTTTTATATGTAAAAAATAAGAGATTATGTACAACACTATAGAAATTTGGATATATGATGAGGGCATTGCTCCCTTCAGAGCGCAAACTGAAATCGGAAGAAGGTGAAAAATTGTCTTGTTTATCGCTTCTACATTACAATTCTATTACCTGCAATGTCAAAAACAAAATAAAAAAATCTAATAGGATTTACCTAGCAGATGGTACTGCACTATTTAAGCATATAATATTGCTGCGCATTGTACATTTTCCATTTATTCAAGGTTTTAAATCATGATTTTTAACCAAATGAAAATTATATAAATATTATATATATATAAATATGGCACTCAAACTTGGACTATAATAAATTATTAGAAATATATAATAAACATTTTATTCATTATAAAGTTGTTTTTAATATTGTTTCTTTTTCCCAATGTTCAAAAAACTAGTTAATTTAAGACTTGTTAACAACTTAATTAGAAAGAGACACTACATTTTTTCCTAATGTTTTTTTTCTAATGCTGGTTACCTCAATTATACCATTAACCAGAGCAACAAAAGAAATCCCAAGTTTACTAATTTACACCCAAAGCCCACACATAAAAGTGCCCCAAAATTCCTGTACCTTTTACAGACCATGTTTTTCACCATTATTTAAACACATTAAAATACTTAAAAATTGCAGTCTGTGGTTCATTTGTCTTTTGTTGAAGAAATCTTCCAACAGAGTTTATGATTAGAAAATAGAAAATGTAGATCGCAA